GGGCGGGGGGCAGCCAAAAATTTTTTTGCTTGGGGTGGCAAAAAAACTAGAGCCGGTCCTGCTTGCATCCACCCTGAAAACTGGAGTACTGAGCCAGTAACCTGCTGTGCCCTGGCTTCAGCCCAACAAGCTAGAGGCTCTGAGCAAGAGACTGCACAGAAGCCTGTGCTCGGACCCCATCCCACCAACATAAAGGTGCTGAGGCAACATCACAAAGGCCCATCCTTGAAATCGTCCCAACAAGCTGGAGGTGCTCAGCAAGTGATCTCACAGCAGACGACCCTCTGCCAGACCCACAAACTTCAGTCACTGAGGCAATAAGCTCATAAGGCTCGTCTCTGGACATCAGATCAGCAAACTGAGCTAGTGAGATCACATGGCCTGTAATTAGGCATTACCCCACGACATTGCTACTTTTTACCCGCTAGCTTTGCAGGGTCATCATAGCTCTGGGAGAGCGCAATTTATTTTATTTGGACCTGGCATCCATATAATTGTTTCCGAGACAAGAGAATGGGGTTTCCCAGGTGTAAATGAGGGTAGAACTTGGACTGCAGATTGCAAACAAGAATGCAGCTTGACTCAGCCCTGACGTTGAGTTTGTGACGCTGTCAGTTCGAAACGTCATCTTTTCACTTGGGGTGTGAGCACATCTGAATGGGGACCAATTAGAAAATAAACAAGGAGTCCCACAATGCCATTTTTATAGAGTCGCTTTGCAAAGCAGAATCTTGGTTTGCTTGCTCAAGAAAGGGAGTTTTCTCTAACTAGGATGCAGGCAGTCCTAGGCAAAATGTGTCTCATTTTTGGTTATCAGGGACACAGCCACCCTTTCTAATTTCACCAGTGACTCACAGTGTGACTTTAGCATGTCACTGAATATCTCTGAGCCTCTGTTTCCTCCTGTGTACTTGAGCATAAAAATAGTAGCATACTATGCATTGAAGAATTTAGTAACAAATGTTTGCAGAACACGTTTGAAGGATTATATGAACATAAGGTATTAGTACTGTCAAAGACAAGAACGCAATCTGCTGCTGAATAATTCATTTGATGTGAGAAACAACCAACAAGGTGTTGAACAAAATTGCTGTACAATTAAACATAATTGCAAAGTGGTTACAGAGAGTGGGATATGGAGGGAGCTTTCAGATTGGCTGCTGATGATGTCGTAGCCAAAACAATAATGCCAAGTGAATGCATGCCTGTTTTCATACTTTGTATTCAGTATAATTATAATAATGCTTTGCCCTTCGCTAGCCTTTCATCTGAGAATCTTAGTGCACTTTACAGATGTTAATTACACTTCATAACACGCCTGCAAAATTGGTATGATAATGCCCATTTTACAGATAGGTAAACTGATGAATGGAGAAATTATGTGATTGGTCCAAGGTCACATAGGTGAGTCAGTGGCTGGGAACAGAACCCCAGATTCTGGCTTCTAGTAGATTGGTCTAACAAGAGACCACACCTTCCTCCCTTCCATGGCAGCAGTTAGATCTTAAGCCACTATGAACTTATAGAAGATGACTGCACGTTGTAATCATTTGCCCACAGCCTCGGGTCTTACAACACACATGGCAGGTTATAGTAATCCAAAAACTGCTATACCCTACTGCTTCAGCATGCAGTCAATTTAGTACTTCTGAATGTTAGCTGATTGAAAGCCATAAAATCTGGAGTCCTCTATTTATGCACCGAAGAAGTACAGCTTGGACAGCAGCAACGTCCACTTCCCCTTCTCAGTTCCACTGGTATGACTCAGTCCTGACCTAGAGGGGCCATCTCTCAGGATGACAGAGGATTTCAGACTCCATGGTCTGTTTAATCCTTAACCTCTCTTCTGAGCCTGCCAAGAGAGGAACTAATTAGTAAGCTCTTTGAGGCAGGGACTGTCCTAATGCTGTATCCACAGCTGGTGATTTTGTTGAAATATGCTGTTTCATTGAAAGGGAAACATTTCATGGAGACACAGGAGCAAGTTAGAGAAACTCCATAGTCTGGTGCTTAGACAGAGCATATTGCCCTGTGATGTGGGAAACCCAGGTTCCTTCTCTTCCTGATTTAGTGTGATCTGGGATAAAAAATTAACTCTGAATAAGGTAAAAGCATTGTCTTGAACCTGGAGCTCTCTCAGGCCATCCTGGTGCCATATTCACAGGTTTCAGCCTAAAATGGACAATACTAGTGACCTGAACCAGAGACCAAAGGATGAAAGGCTCCTTAGTTCAACACCAACCCTGTTTCTCTGATACTGGGCAGACAGTCACATCAGAGGGGGACGGGTGGAGGCAGCATATAGCACACCCATACAGTGAAGGTGTAGGTCTGTATAATAGTAGAAGTACCTCTCTGCACTCTTACTGTACACAGAGCACAGCTGAAATGCTAAGGACTGTTTACTGGCTTTGGTAATGGTATTGATCTCCCATCCTTTTAAAAAGGGACCGGAAGCTTAATCTGATCTGTAAGAGTGTCTCTTATTATTTACTTTGCCAAAGAAGAGGATTAGATATCAAGAGGAACAGAAGATACTATAGAAGCATGCGTTTAACTATAAGTGGATATGCATTTATCCTGCAGTGCAGTTAGCCATAAATATGTTTAAAAGAACAATTCCCAAGAACTCTCCAGGAGGTTTTGGTTTAAAGAAATAAGACAAGAGCAATAAATAAAGGGGAACGCAGTGAACTGGCTTTTAACCTGTGGAGACCCTAGTTCAGATCATCAACAATATTTTCACCCAAACTCCACCTGCAGAATCTTTATGACATGTTATAGCATATGAGGCAGATTGAACAAATTTTCACAGCCTAGGTTGGATCTGTGGAGCTAGGAGAAAAATGAATTTTGACTTATAAGCTGAGCAAACATGAGCTGGAAAAGTCACGGAGAAAAAATAAATGAGAAACTCCATGATGGCATTTTGACAGTCACTTTTCAGACCACAGAAACTGTTGGTCAGTGCTGCTTAGTCTGCAACACCCTTTTAGAAATATTCAGGTGTCTTTTTCTTGCTACTTTGAACCATAATTTTCTCACCCATATTTCAAATGGATCACCAGGCATGGAACCTGTTTGTGCATCAGCACTTTTGAAGCAATGTTAGCACAACTCAGGGGTTGGAGAGTTTGTTAGCCAAGGTATGCTGGCTCTGCAATAGGAGTGAACAAAACCTTGCAGGCTGACCAGAAACAGTGATTTTTCTGGGGGTATTTTTTTTTTTAATGTTTCAGCGTCTCCTACAAATCAGCAATATCTTCAGGGCTACATATACATACACACAGAATTGATGCAATGAATAATCTGTGTGTATTCAGCTTGCAGAAAATACCTAAAATGGCCACTGTAATTCCATTCAAACTGCATTTTAAGACTGCCCCACTATTTCTGCCCCAGACTGCTCCAAAATCCCATCACAGTACAAAAGGAAAGTTCCAGAAGCCACTGACCTCCACATGTCCCAGTCACCGGGTGCCTCCTTCTCATTGCTCCTTCCGATAACTGTTTGTTCAAAAAAAATATTTTTTTGAAGTCAGTCTTTCTTGAATTAATATTTATCCATGTCAGACAGTACTTCCCTCCTCTCTGTCAACCCTGATCTGGAGCTGCAGTTGGCCAGAGGTTTGCAATTGCCCTGCTAGTTGTGCAGAGATAATTATGGTGCATTATCTTGGGTCTGGAGATTTCTGGTCAGCCCCTCCTCAAATGTCCTGTTCTGAAATGAAGAAGGTTAATTAAGCCAAAGTATCTAAGAAGGGGTTAATCCCTCCATTTTCTCTCTTTAAATACTCTTCCCCTAACATGCTAGATGGGCGGCAGGGTGAAACTCATTATGTGGGAAATTTTCATTTCATTCAAATTATGTGCATCAGGGTTGGTGTGACAGAGCTCAGAGATACAAGGTGGGTGAGGTCATAGCTTTTATTGGACCCACTCTTGCTAGTGAGAGAGACAGGTTTTTGAGCTTACCCAAACCTGAAGAAGAGATCTGGGTAAGCTTGAAAGCTCGTCTCTCACCAACAGAGGTGGGGCCAATAAAAGCTATGACCTCACCCACCTTGTCTTTCTCTAATAGCCTGGGACCAACCCAGCTACAACAACACTGCAGCCAGAGCTCAGTACATTAGAGGGCCCCTTAGACTGTTTAGAAAGCTACAGCGCAGTTGTCAGAGAAGCCTGAAAGCAGCTGTTGTGGCTGTAGCCTGTGGATTTACAGAACTGTTATTGCTGGTGATGGTGCATGAGAAAGAGTGACCCCAGACTGACTCCAAGACCCCATGGCTGGCAGTTGGGGGGGGGATATCCCAACTTGTAAAACAGGCAGATTTGACCCAGAAATCATTGAAAGACAATAAACATAGCAGCCTGCAATGCCATGTTTACAGTTCCTATTAAGCAGGGGATGTTATGCAATGGAGGGATGTTATTTATTACTGGTACACTGCAGTATAAGTATTGTAGTTTCGTGATAGAGGCTGGGTACTGAGAAATGACTGTGGTTTTCATAAAGAGAAGAAAGTAAGGGATTCACCTACAATCCTGAGCTAGTTAAGTGCCAATGGGTGTATTCAAGAAGTTTCTACCTTTGATGTTCTGATGCAGATGAAGCAGGCAGCCACTCCGAATATATTTGCTGGTTGCAAAAGTCCCCAGTGAAGAGCAGCTTGATCTAATAAGAGAACTTTCCTCTGACATTCAACCACCAATTTAATAAAATAATTGAGTGGCTGCCGAGAAACTGGCTTGTCATCAGTTGCAATAAAAAGAATCTATAGTTGATTGTAACTTGGCCACTCCTGATGTGAGTGCCGCCCACAGGCCCAAGAGCAGAGAGCAAAACGGCTCCTTTCCCACGCTGCTGTTGGTTTGCCCACAGATATTTTGATCATCCAATATATTTTTTTCTTCAAGGTCAGAGTCCTTCTCTTCCTCTGAGGCAAAACCTGCCTGTGCTTTGTCTTGAATTCCCCTTGCACAGTTGAAGGTGTTTCTTAAAAAGGACTCCATCAGCTTTATACAGTGTTTGTAAACCCTGAGGCTTGGTCTACACTAAACCCCCAAATCGAACTAAGGTACGCAACTTCAGCTACGTGAATAACGTAGCTGAAGTTCGAAGTACCTTAGTTCGAACTTACCTTGGTCCACACGCGGTAGGCAGGCTCCCCCCGTCGACTCCGCGGTACTCCTCTCGCCGAGCTGGAGTACCGCAGTCGACAGCGAGCACTTCCGGGTTCGACTTATCGCGTCCAGACAAGACGCGATAAGTCGAACCCAGAAGTTCGATTGCCAGCCGCCGAACTAGCGGCTGGGTATAGACGTACCCTCAGAGTAGTTAGTGTCATCGATGTTGTTAACACTTTTGACTATGAAAGCGGAAAGCAATTGGTAAGTCTAGTTTTCAGTATCCATGTTATTCTCCTAACTGGGGAAGGTGGGGCTGGTTACTTGTTCTCAGTTCTGTAGCAAGCTCTACCAGGTAAGAAGTAAACCATCACTTTTTGTTCTGATCTTGGTGACTAATGAGAATAATGGATCCCTGTTCTCTTTCTAGCATCCCTTTCTTCATCTGCAGACAGGTACGTCTCCCCCTCAGACATCTTTTCTCCTCACCACCCTTCCCAGCTCCCTTGGTCGTACTCCTTGGTTTCAAACCCTTTATCATTTTGTCCCTCTCTGCTGTACTCCCCACTTTGTCCATGTCTCGGAGTGAAGCCCAGAATGACTGTGGTATTGAAACTAGGACCTAACCCCCATCAAACAGGGTGGAATAGCACTTCCCTCGCTTACTGTGGATAGTCCTGTCGATGCCACGTCACATAGTAAATCCCCTTTTTTTTTGCATTACCATTGCTCTGTTAATTCATATTCATCACTCGCTTTAGCCCTAGATCCTTCATTGCAGTTCAGCTGCCCACCCAGTATTCCCCCAGTCTCTAACATGCCTTTGCTTATTCGTTCCAGTATGAATCAATCCAGCTTTATTAAGCATGGCATCTTTCATAGCAACTGAATCCCCAAATGTCTAATAGCAGACCATGAACATTATCTGGGATAAATGACTGCAAAGAGTAAATACACTGCAGAGTGAATGCATTCAGTCACTTAATATTTATCTTTACTAAAGCTCGTCATTGATTCCAGCTTCCGGAGCTCATACTGCATATCCTTTTCCTCCTCCACAGTATCACTGATTCCCTCCCACCTTTCTCTCATCTGCAGCTCTGATTAACACAGTCTCCCCTGCATCTTCTTGATCTGCTCATGAAAATATTAAATAGGCTGCACTTGTGCCAGATACTCTGGGAGGCCCCACTAGACAGCTCTATACATGACAGTGCATCCATCTCATTACTTCCACCTAATTATTATTATTTGTCCTGCAGTAGTGCCTAGTGACAACATGCGAGGTGCTGCACAGACACAGAACTAAGGTCCCTTCCCAAAAGATCTTACACTCTATGTCTAGATTTCGCTAGCTTTTCTACACAAGTATGTGGAGAAGGGTCAAATTGTCCTCTTTTTTTTCCATGGGTGGAGGGAGGCAATGAAAAGCCTGTAGTTGTCCTGCTGGGAAGTACAAAAGGGAGGAAGAATGTTTCTATAGCATTCTTCTACAGAAGTCCCTCCTTGAGCAACGATTCTATGCATGGGGGAAGATATACATCCTCTCCCTACCACCCCTGGGATAAACACTTTTATAGTGTCAGTATTAACTTTTCCACAGAGAGGTCCTTGGTACTGTTGAACCTTCCTCTGAAGGCAGGGCTGGGGGAGGGAAGGTGGTAAGGGGAGTGGTTGGCAGGGGACAGTGTTGCATGAGGTTTCAGTTGGATCTATACTGCCAGGAAACCTTCAACAGTGGATTGCAGTGGCTAAAGGGGAATGTGGAGGACCCAGCTTTCCTCCCCTCTCCTTGCAAAGAACAGAGGGAGAGATCCCCTCCTTGTCCCTCTCCCTGGCTTGTGGAAAGCAGAGCTCCAACACAGCCTGTCCCCCAAACCATGAAGCAGGCATCTGTGAGTGCTAGAGGTTCAACCCCACTTCTTCAATGAGAAGGAAAAACACCTTGCTGCCTTCTGGTGGAAGAAGAGAGAGAGAACTCTGTAAGGGGAAACTCACCTGGTTTCCTGTCCCTGAATAAAGTTTCCCACGTAAGGGACTGCTTAGGCCTCAGTTGCTTATGTTCAGATAGAAGAACATGCAATGAGCATGGCCGAGCAGACAGACACTTATTTAAGGACTGTAGATCTTGATGAAGGGAAATGCTTTGCCTTTCTGTGACCACCCAATCCTCCATCACCTCCATTTTATCCTTCCCCACAAAATTAACAACGAGCAGATACAGGGCTGCTCTGGATACACTGAAATACTTTTTCAGGAACTATTAAAAGAAAAACAAAAAGGCCCTTGGCAGCTTTCACAAATCATTCTTCTTCCTAATGAATCATTAAAGGGCTGGTTCTTTTGGTGCATTGCTTACTCCGTAACTTGCCATGGGATTCAACATTTTCCTGCTAGTGGTGCCTGCTCTTACTGGAACCTTGTGTGTTTCTCCATTGATCTCTAGCCAGGAACAGCTATTTTGTTTTAATATCATTATCTGTGCTAACAATTGCATTTAGCTCTACAAGAGTTAGCTGATGTATACATCAGCTAAAACCATGGGTCAGGTCTGAGAGTGGACATGCAGCCAGAGGAGGGGATTAGGAAGTAGGAGTCATACTAACTTCTAGTCCCAGCTCTGCTCATCAGTTTGTACCTTGCAAAAGCAATTTCTGTGCCTCAGTTTGTTTGTAAAATGAGTCTGATTATAGGAGTGACCAGTTTTGCGGGGGTGTTAGGAGAACTAATTGGTGTTTGTAAAGTGCCACAGAATCCTTGGATGTACAAGATGCAACAGTACAAAGGACAAAGTATGCCTGTATGTCATAGGGCTGCCCTTACCACCGCCTCATCACATTTTTTTGATGCAAGACGATCAGATTATTTCATTGAAATACATTTTTACCCCATATTTTTCTAGCTGTTGACCAAACACTCTTTGTATCCAAATGTTCTCACTTTTTGATGAAAAAACTGTTTTGACTCCACATTTTTAGTTTTGGATAAATTTTTGACCTACATCAGATTTTTTTTCATGGGAACAATGTTTTTGTCCCAAATGTTTCTCTCTCTCCACCATTTCTTTTGATGGACACTTTCAGAGCCTGATCCTCTACAAAGCAAGTTGCAATAAGCAACCAGTAAAAAAATTATGAGCAAGAGAGGGAGCACAGAGGAACCTGATCTTCCCTTAACACCCACCTCTCTATTTTTACCCTGAGCACTTACAAATAATCCTGCCACTTCTACCACTCAGTGTGGTTACCACAGGGCTTAGCTTTACTTGCACTCATATGAAGCCTCCATTCACACTTGCACTAAATCACAACAAATGTTTGCACTGTTCAAGAACATGCAGGATCCAAAGTTCAGTCTTCATTTTCATAAATACACAATGAGGAAAACTGACACCTCCCTGGATCATCTGAGCACCTCACACTGTCACCTGGGTCCCTGTTTGTTTCCAGATTCTAATCAAGGTCTTTGTCTCTGTGACTTTCTACCCAGAGGCCAACTCACCATCCATGACCAGTCAAGATATCCTCCATGAGTGAAGTTGTGGAAACTAGAAGTCTCTAGGTGAAATTTTTGAGAGATGAAGACCGAGCATCTGGGGGTGAACACCAGGGATGGCGAAGAGCCATTTAAGCTAACGGGCAATGCTGGCACAGGAACAAATGGGTATGAACTAGCCATGAGTAAAGTTAGGGGGGAATTAGAAAAAGGTTTGTAACACTCAGAGAGTTGAGGTGCTAGAGCAGCCTCCCGGGAAGAGTAGTGGAGACTAGAAACCTGACTGGTTTTATTGCGGATCTTGATAAGCTTGTGAACAGGATTATATGACATGTGCTTGTGATAGCAGGGGACTGGACTCAATGACCCAGGTGGTCCCTTCCAGTGCTACATTCTTACATTCATTCTCAATGCTGAGTCTTAGAGCATGGTATTGCTGCCAGATAGACTGACCCTTAGTCTGAGCTGTTTCAGAGCCTGGCGCAAAACCCATTCCTCCACCAAAGCCTACCAGCAATAGCAGAAACAGAAAGGAGAAAGAATTTGGAGGACAAGGCATCCCAAAGGCAAATTTAAGCAGCTGAACCCTAACATGACAAGAGCGGAGTCCAATTCAATGACTATCGTTTGCTGATCTTCATTTAATATTGTGACAGGTTTCAGAGTGGTAGCCATATTAGTCTGTCTCAGCAAAAACAACGAGGAGTCCTTGTGGCACCTTAGAGACTAACACATTTATTTGGGCATAAACTTTCGTGGGTTAAAACCCACTTCATCAGATGCATGGAGTGAAAAATACAGTAGGCAGGTATAAATACACAGCACACGAAAAGATGGGAGTTGCCCTACCAAGTGGGGGGGTCAGCGTTAATGAGGCCAATTCAATCAGGGTGGATGTAGCCCGTTCCCAACAGTTAACAAGAAGGTGTAAGTATCAACAGAGGGAAAATTACTTTTTGTAGTGACCCAGGCACTCCCAGTCTAATTGTGTGCTTCAGTGCTATTTTTGTAAATACATAACTTGGCAGATAGCTCAGATTTGATTAGATGCTACAAATTCTGATTAATTTATCTATGAGAAAATGTAGAAAAGGACACAGAGTAGGAGAGAGCAGGGCAAAGAGAAACTGAGTGGCAGTAGGTGGGATATGTGGAAGTGAGCAAGAAATTGACAGGAACACAAGCAATCAGGCATGAACAAGGAAATAGTGGCTTGGGAGGACAAAAGCAGAAATGGATGGAGTATGGGTATACAGAGCATGTGGGGCAGCAAGGAGAGGGGACTGGCTAACTCATGGAATGGGTAGTGTAACATGGAGCATTTCCTGATCACCAGATTAGCACTGGTGGAAAGCCTTTACCATCTGACGACTGTTGGCCTCTGCGAAATGACTGTTGTCATCTCCATTCAGTTCCTAATGTGCAGGTGTCCACCTTCCAAAACCACCACTGCAACTAGCAGTCTCAGCCCAGAGCCAAGGGCTGAATGAGCCATGGACACTGAACTCCCTTCTCATCCCTTCCAGGTCAGGCTTCAGGCGCATAGGCAGTGAGGGGAAAGTTTTCATGGCCTTTACTTGTGCTATACCTGTTCTGTGAGCACTCCACTTACTGTGAGAGGAAAGATCAGTCAGGGGATCTGCACTGTATTCCTGTAACAGGTCTAGTCAGTAGTCACCCATCAGTTGATTCAGGGTCCGATATAGGTTTAAGCTCACAAAACCTGTTTGTCACTAGCAAATTAATCTGCGGCTGCTCCCTTGCTTTCTGTACAAAGCTGATAGGGCATTTTCCTTGGAATGGGATGGCTCAGGGAAGTTGATTTGGGTGAAAGAATGTGGAAGTTCAGCCCCCAGAGATTAGCTATTAGCCAGGATGGGCAGGGATGGTGTCCCGAGCCTCTGTTTGCCAGAAGCTGGGAATAGCTGACAGGGGATGGATCACTTGATGATTACCTGTTCTGTTCATTCCCTCTGGGGCACCTGACATTGGCCACTGTTGGAAGCCAGGACACTGGGCTAGATGAACTATTGGTCTGACCCAGTATGGCCGCTCTTCTGTTCTAAACCCCACAAGCAAGCTGACAAGTTGTGGCTTGTCTCAGGAGAGATGCAGGCAGTGGTTGGGTGGTGGCACACTGCCTAATGCCCATTCTACAATTCAAGCCCCATGTCCTCAGCAAAATGAAATTTTCACACAGGTTGCATACTTGATGTTAAGGCAGCAAGCCACTGAATCCCATTAGAAAGACAAAGTGCACACACATTTCCTGTGCACCTGGTAACTCCAGATCCCTGTAGAGTGATAAAGCCCACAGAATAGAGTTGATTTGCCCCCCAGTGGAATACTGAATAATGTAATTTCTTTCTCCCCTGCTCTGTAGGATCCAGAACCTTGCAAAATTAAGATACGCAGCCTAGATGGAAGCCCTGCATATTCTCCCCTCAATGCACACAAACATTTATCTTTCAGCTACCTGAGACACACATGAGTACCTTCAGGGAATCCTAATTAAATGCTCAGCATGTCCCTTTATCAGCCAGGGATGTTGTCATCCCCCTTATCAGACTGCACACAGCTGTGGAAGCACTGATCCTTTGCAGAATTCAGTCTTCATTCAGAGTAACCTGCCCTCCAAGGTATGTTACAATGCGGGGCAAAAATCACAAAACCATCTCGACTTTTATTTTCAGGTTGTTTCCTGGTCTGTCAGTACAGAGATGGAGACACCTTTTTGTCCCTCTCTGAGACAAGGGGCAAAGAGCACGTGGGTGGGGTGAGAGGTGGAGAGTGCTTTTTGACTTCACGATTTAGAACATGCTAACAGTATAACTCCAACCTCCCCTTGAGCTGCATGGCACCAGCACCAGGTGCTGACACCATTAAGAGATTCCCACTTAGCATTGCTAAGAACCATGCAGGAAAACCTTGTTTTCTATTCAAAAAAGACTGCACACATTTAAAAAAAAAACCTAATCCAAAAGCAAACAAAGTCCTAGCTGCCATCTCTATCTATAAATTGCAGAGCATGCAGTCCTATCAGCTGGGGGCCATGTGGGACGGACAGTGTTACACATGTGTCTTTTGTGCCATCAGATTTTTTTTGCAGTGAATTTATTGCCGCCCTCTATCCCCAGAACAGGTATAACGTGGGCAGCAGCAGAGCAAGCACCTGTAATGCTGCCCTGCCAATATGTCTCAGTTCTGCCTGGGGCTCATACAACTGCACTGAGGGGACTAGCAGTGAAAGGAGAGTTCACTCTTCAGTCTTGCCCCCCCCCCGCCCCCTTTTAAATTCCCAGCAAATGGAGCCAGTTCACAGATTGATCAATTCCAAGGCCATACACACAAGACTTTCCCCAGAATAATTCCTTTTGAACCGGAGTTATCATAATTCTTTGCTCTTATAAAACCTCTTTCATCCCAGGATTTTAAAATGCTTTATAAATAATGCACTGCTCCACACAGTACTCCTGGGTGGGTAATAGTAATATCACTGTTTTACAGATTGGACTACTGAGGGACAAAAGGGTAACTGATTTAACCAGAGTCACAGAAAATCTGGGGCAGAATTGGGAGTAGAACCCAGGAATCCCCCAGTTCTAACAGCTAGATACAATCCCCTCCAATGGTGTGACAGGTCTAACATGTACTGTCAAATGAGATAGGCCAGAGCACAAAAGCCTACTAGGAACCATACTGAAACCAACTCCCCCTAATGCTCAGCCACTCAGCAGCTGCAACATGCTAGTGGTCACCACTGCCCTAGAGCAGAATCAGGCAGGTGAGATCTATGAAAAGCTTCCTGTCCTCATTACTGACTGCCTATTTAACAGCATGTGCTGTTTCCATTTGCATTCATCTAAATTGCTTAGTGACACCCCTTCCTGCTGAACCATTCCCTGACAGAGAAACTTCAGTGCTATGGTGTGGATGCAAGATGAGCAGGTGAAAATGAAACAGCCCTTGCAGCAAATTTTTTTCCTTCTAGACTGTTCAAAACAGCATATAGACCATCAGGGCACTGACAAACACCACATTTGTGCTCTCCACCCATGCCAGGTATTTCAATGGAATCCCTCTCTGCAAACTCCTGTGGCACAGAGCTGTCAGTGATCCTTTTGCACTAATAGGTATGGGTCCTGCAGCTGGAGACCAGGAGCAGCTCCTCCTTAGTCATCAGAAGAAGCTGCAATGAGAGACTACATCTGGAGTCAGATACTCAATATCATGCTCAGTAAAAGAACTGTTCCTGGCTGCTGTGGCATTACCTTGGCCACAAACCTTTATTCCCAAAAGGAAATTATCCTGGCAACACGGACATTCTGGGAGATCTGGTGCCAAATCTTGCCCACAGATCATGGACTTTAAATTGACTCATCCCAGCACTGCTGAGAAGACAAAAGAGCTGCATCCCATACAAGTTTCACGTATGCCATTACCTCCAGTGGTCAAATCAAGGCATTTCACCTGCACTTACAATTAAAATACACCTTATAGTGCACATCAGCCTAACTCAGTGGTTCCCAAACTTGTGAGGTCAGCCCCTGCCTTACTCTTAATGTAATTCCCCCCCCCCCCAGGCACTGGGGCTGGGAGCAGGGCCACGGTCAGGGGTGCAGGTGAGAGCTGGGGACCATGGCTGGGGGTACATGCCAGAGGCCAAGGCCAGGGCCGGAACTTAGGGCAGAGCAGGGCTGGGTGGCACTTCCTCCATACCCCCTGTGGTGACTGGCCCAGGTCCTGCTGTGCCCCCCGAATATTCCTCTGCACCCCTCTGGGGGGGTGCATCTCAGTTTGGGGACCCCTAGCCCAACTCCAGCCTGACACCAAGACACCGATAAGTGCCTCCTACACTCATATTGCTGAGCATCAAGCAAGTGGTGCATTCACTGAGCTGTGTAAAAATGAAGGTAGACACACATCTGTAACATGCTGATCAATGGGATCCTTCAGGGTAGCTGTGGGAGAGTGACAGAGAAATGGGCAAAGGAGAATTGTCAGGTCTCTGATTGATCCGGAGAGTGATAGGTGACCTCTTCTGAACACTTGCATGGACTTAGGTTCAGACCTCAGAGTAATTTCAGTTCATTGTTTTCCAGATCAGAATACAGGTCAGGGTCTAGAGCCCCAGGCACACACTGCAAGTGTTAATGCTACAGCAACAAATTGCTTTTACTGTAAGTTGCTAATAACCACCAGGAGATCATCATGTGCCCATTACATTATACACAATACAAGCCCACCCACACACCAAGGCTGGCTGTAAGCGTACACAAAGGAAATAGCTTCTTGTGCCCTGCTCATTTGGAGCACAACATCTCTTGCAAGTTCTGCACCCTATGTGCTCATCTCAGAAGGGCCAGAAGCATAGCCTTGTTAAGGTACAGGATTGGGAACACAGAGATGTAGCCTCTGCTCCTGGCTCTGCTGCAGACTCACGGTGTGACCACAGACAAGTCACTTAACCTCCCTCTCGCTCTATTTCCCCATCTGTAAAATGGGGATCAAACTTCTCCACAGCATGATGTTACGAGACCTATTCATGTTCACCCGTTTATGGGAGGGGCTCAGGCACTACGGCGGTGCGTGCCACACAAATTCCCATAAATGAACTAGATGCTATCATCCCACTAGAAGGGCCAAAGGGTGAGGCAACTTGAGGCCCTGCTGAAGGGTGGGGTCTGTACATAGTGAGGTTGTCCCGACATGCCAACTGCGAAGACCTGACAAAGGATTCTTCTCACTCCCAATGGAATGAGTGTGACAAGCTGTTTAAAGGTTCAACAGGGGAATAGTTTTATTCTAGTTAGAAGCTTACAAAGAAAAAGTTCCAATACTGAGCTCCATGTGGACACGGTGGGAATCTAGGAGCTCATAGCAAAGCCTGAAACCCTCACCATAATCTGCAAACAGCTAGTTACCTTCTAGCTCCCCCTAGTGGTATGTTGCATAACAGAATTACCTGCCCAAGGAATAAATCTTTGAAGATGCCCATGCAGTTATGACATTGATATCATAGGGCAAACTTGAAACTTCATTGCATATTTAGAGGAAATAACCTTTCCAAGGGAATATGGCATGATTGCCATCTCCTAGGAGTCAAGGCAGAGCTTGCATCTGACTGCTCCGGGTGCCCATTTATTAAGTGTGTTTAGTCTTGTACAAGACACAATCCTTGCCTGAAAGAGGTTACCCTCTAAACACCAGACAGACAGACATGCTGCAAGATCCAGGGTCATCATATGAAGTTTAAGAATCATTTTACTGCTTTTATTGATTAGATAATTATTCTTCACTTTAAAATTGGCTGTTGCAGAAAGGTCCTGAGGCATTTCCTGCTTAAACTACTTAGACAAAGAGTGAATACAGTTGGACTTACTCAAAAACCACTGCAATTTAGACCCACATGATGGTCCAAGATGTTTTATTTGTAAGACTCACTTATGGAAAAGTCACATAGAAAATTATAGCCTTTCTATAGGTATTTTGAAGCAGACTTTAGAATTTAATAGATAATTATATCCCTGGTACAGAATTCCTTAGGATGCTGCAAAAAACTTATGGAAAGCATATACACCGCTACCTCGATATAACGTGACCTGATATAACACAAATTCAGATATAATGCGGTAAAGCAGTGCTCCGGGGCGGGGCGGGGCTGCGCACTCCATTGGATCAAAGCAACTTCAATATAATGCGGTTTCACCTATAACGTGGTAAGATTTTTTGGCTCCCAAGGACAGCGTTATATCGAGGCAGAGGTGTACTTCTCTATAAAACATAATAGCAGTTTCTTTTTAGAGGCATGTCAGACTGATTCAAGTCCTTCCTTACAGCAAACATCTTCCAATAGCCTATCAACCTTAGTATTTCCCTGAAAAAGGTCAGAACAGAAGAAAAACCCTCTATGCAGTATTTTGCTGTATCCCATCCTTCATCTGTCCATTGTTTATTTAGATACTGACCTCTTTGGGGCAAGGAATGTCTTCTTACTTTTACTGTAAAAGGGCCAAGAGCACATGTGACTCAATAATAAAAGGTGCAGTGGGTTAGTATACTGGCCTTTCACCTGTGTGGATCCAAGTTTAACTCCTAGGTAAAATATAAATATTGTAGAGTGGGGGATCCTTCAAGGTTAGTAATACTAGAGATTTATGCAGGTTAGAGAACCATCACACAGTTCAGCTTTGATATGTAGTCTGCTCAGGAGAAGCCCAGGATTGAAATAACGTGACAGTGTCAAGATCGACAGCACTGACAGAATCACGGGGGAGCCAGGACTAGAATACCAGGGACGCTATAGGTCAGGATCAAAGGCTATGCATTTGTAGAGGGCAGGGGAGCTGGCTCCAGATTAGAATAGTAGGGATTGGTGCAGATCAGGATTCAGGTGCTCTGCCAGAGTACAGGGACAAAATTAGAATAGCTGAGGATACTGCAAACTGAGGAACACTGCCATAGGTGTGCAGGGGCTTAGAACTGAAACAGTCTGTTTTGGGAGATGATTGCAATTCAGGACAGAAGTGCACTGGCGGAGCTGTGTAGGGAACCGAGTGCTGGAACAGTCCGATAGTGTTGCAGACACAGTAGAATCTTGAGGAGGGGAAAAAGAAGGCATATACATTTAGTGAGTGGTTTGCTAAATGAAACAGTCTTTGCTCATTCTGAAGTCAGTATCAAAAACACTTCAGAGGTGAGAGGAAGGGGCAGCTGCACTGTAAGAGAGGAGAGTTCACAGACTATTGCTAAACAGTCTACATCTAGTGTATCAGTTTTGCTATGAACATAAGAATGGCCATACTGGGTCAGACCAAAGGACCATCCAGCCAAGTATCTTGTCTACCAACAGTGACCAATGCCAGGTGTCCCAGAGGGAGTGAACCTAACAGGTAACGATCCAAGTGATCTCTCTCCTGCCATCCATTTCCACCCTCTGACAAGCAGAGGCTAGGGACACTATTCCTTACCCATCCTGGCTAATAGCCATTAATGGCCTTAACTTCCATGAATTTATCTAGTTTTCTTTTAAACCCTGTTAAAGTCCTAGCCTTCACAACCTCCTCAGGCAAGGAGTTCCACAGGTTGACTATGCGCTGTGTGAAGAATTTCCTTTTATTTGTTTTAAACCTGCTACCCATTAATTTCATTTGGTGGCCCGTAGTTCTTATATTATGGGAACAAGTAAATAACTGTTCCTTATTCACTTTCTCCACACCACTCATGATTTTATATACCTCTTTCATATCCCCCCTTAGTCTCCTCTTTTCCAAGCTGAAAAGTCCTAGCCTCTTTAATCTCTCCTCATATGGAACCCATTCCAAACCCCTAATCATTTTAGTTGCCCTCTCTGAATCTTTTCTAATCTGTACGCAGTATTCAAGATATGGGCGTACCATGGATTTATATAAGGGCAATAAGATATTCTCCGTCTTATTCTCTATCCCTTTTTTAATGATTCCTAACATCCTGTTTGCTTTTTGACTGCTGCTGCACATTGCGTGGACATCTTCAGAGAACTATCCATGATGACTCCAAGATCTCTTTCCTGATTAGTTGTAGCTAAATTAGCCCCCATCATATTGTATATATAATTGGGGTTATTTTTTCCATTGTGCATTACTTTACATTTATCCACATTAAATTTCATTTGCCATTTTGTTACCCAATCACTTAGTTTTGTAAGATCATTTTGAAGTCTGCTTTGGTCTTAACTATCTTGAGCAGTTTAGTATCGTCTGCAAACTTTGCCACCTCACTGTTTACCCCTTTCTGCAGATCATTTATGAATAAGTTGAATAGGATTGGTCCTAGGACTGACCCTTGGGGAACACCACTAGTTACCCCTCTCCATTCTGAAAATTTACCATTTATTCCTACCCTTTGTTCCCTGTATTTTAACCAGTTCTCAATCCATGAAAGGATCTTCCCTCTTATCCCATGACAACTTAATTTATGTAAGAGCCTTTGATGAGGGACCTTGTCAAAGGCTTTCTGGAAATCTAAGTACACTATGTTCACTGGATCCCCCTTGTCCACGTTTGTTGACCCCGTCAAAGAACTCTAATAGATTAGTAAGACATGATTTCCCTTTACAGAAACCATGTTGACTTTTGCCCAACAATTTATGTTCTTCTGTGTGTCTGGCAATTTTATTCTTTACTATTGTTTCAACTAATTTGCCTGGTACTGATGTTAGACTTACCGGTTTGTAATTACCGGGATCACCTCTAGAGCCCTTTTTAAATATTGGCGTTACATTAGCTAACTTCCAGTCATTGGGTACAGAAGCTGATTTAAGGGACAGGTTACAAACCATAGTTAATAGTTCCGCAATTTCACATTTGAGTTCTTTCAGAACTCTTGGGTGAATGCCATCTGGTCCCGGTGACTTGTTACTGTTAAATTTATCAATTAATTCCAAAAACCTCCTCTAGTGACACTTCAATCTGTGACAATTCCTCAGATTTGTCACCTACAAAGGATGGCTCAGGTTTGGGAATCTCCCCAACATCCTCAGCTGTGAAGACTGAAGCAAAAAATTCATTTAGTTTCTCTGCAATGACTTTATTGTCCTTAAGTGCTCCTTTTGTATCTCGATTGTCCAGGGGCCCCACTGGTTGTTCAGCAGGCTTCCTGCTTCTGATGTACTTAACAAAATGTTTTTTATTACCTTTTGAGTTTTTGGCTAGTTCTTCAAACTCCTTTTTGGCTTTTCTTATTACATTTTTACACTTAATTTGGCAGCATTTATGCTCCTTTCTATTTACCTCACTAGGATTTGACTTCCACTTTTTAAAAGATGCCTTTTTATCCCTCACTGCTTCTTTTACATGGTTGTTAAGCCACAGTGGCTCTTTTTTAGTTCTTTTACTATGTTTTTTAATTTGGGGTATACATTTAAGTTGGGCCTCTATTATGGTGTCTTTGAAAAGTGTAATGGTAACAATAGCGCATCCATATCTCCTTCTAAACCTCAATCTAAACTAAACTAAATCTTCAGTTTTCCAAGACAATGGAAGATAGGAAAGCACAGTTTTGATGGGTTTGGGGGAAGCAGTATTAAGAAGCTTCAGAAACTGATTCCCTATGTTGCTAGGACAGAGCAGGACAGTCCTGTCGCAGCCACCACAGGTAAGATTCCCACCTCCCTCAAGACAGGAGAAAGAGTTAATGTGGTAGCACCATCGTACATTGCAAATAACACACTGAACATCTGACACCCGCAGTCCATGCTGACAGATTTTATCATCTCCCAAGATACAGTCAATACAGAAACAAATTGCTGCTTCTTTAACTGCCAAGTGAGAGAAGCAACAGACTGTCCTTCAAGTCAACTTACTAAATGAACATTTTAGAAGCTTAAGCAAGATACAAAAAAGTGAAAATGTCATATGATCTGAATGACATTCCCTCCCATTAATAGAGGAAATTTAAAAGAAAGAAGGCTAATGGAGATGGAACATCATCTTACATATCTGTTGAGAAGCAGACATGTAATTAGGATAAACATCCTATAAACCAAGGTTACGATTCAGATTTCAAACTATTCCCAGCAGTTTATTTAGTTACTTAAAAATGAAAATGTCTTCAATAAGCACGAGATGTACAAGATTATTGGTCTAAGTACTGTATCATTAAGCCATTTGAAAAGATGGGCCTCCCTCTGATTTCATATATTTATTACTACTATTGGTCAGTGAGACCAATGGTATACTGTACCTAGAATGTGGAGGTGGGAGTTTTAAGGAAAGATAGACCTTGAGGTTTGATGCTGACAACCTATTAACCCATTTTCAATCTTCAGACAAGCAACTTTGTGCTAAGGATACCAAGGTATCCTAATGTATTTCAACAGGTCATTTCCTATACTAAAAGTATAATACTTAGACCTACCAATAGAAGGCTTTTCTGAAAGGAGGAGCTAAATCTATCCATGACAGAACTCAAAGTTACAGCTGGGATGATTTAAGTCAAAAGTACACCCATTACGAGTTTGAAGACAAGGATTTATTGTTTTTCATAAAAGATGTGTGATACCAGGTAGGGGGTAACATGCTCTGATCAAAGATAAAAAGATCTGATAAGTTTGTAGAATAACAGGAACAAAGAACAATGAATGGGCCATTAAACACATCTGGTAAATCAAAATGTGTATGTCTGCACACATGTCTGTTTTAATAATAAATTACATTACTAGGACACCTTTCATGCTTAAGGAGCCAAAGTGGTTTATAAACTATATACAGGCAGGAATGACTTCACCCATCACTAAAATACATCTGCTTGGAGAGGAATGTGACAAACAGCACACAAACACTGAAAAACAGTTTAGGACAGAAAATGAAGAATTCCATATCTAATGAAAACTGCAGGGGGGGAATCAGAATGCAATTTCCTGCACTGGAATTTTGCTGGGTGACTGGGGGTTAATCCCCCTACTGCTGTGAAAAGCACTATGAGATTTCAGCTCAATGTCTCAGCCAAGGGAGGAGGAGGAGATCTCCTCTACATTGGAGAGCAGCCCTACAAACTGAATCACTACCTAGAGATTTAAAGAAGTCTCCCATCCAAGTACTGACCCAGCCCAGTCCATTTTACTTTGTGAGAACTGACAGAATTACTGGACACAATCTATATCAACAGCTAACCATCCCAGGGTGAGTGCTTCAATTAGGTGGTATTCTCATTGTGACACCTTGGCACCCCCCTATTCACCACTGACATCTAATGATGATATGTTTTGGACAACTATTCTAAAAGTCTTGATCTGCTAGACATTAATATCTCGTTGGATTGTATGTGCTACCATTGTACGTGAAGTTATGAAGTTTGGCTATGTATGTGCTACTGAAACATGTTGCAAGGTTGAAAACACCCACAAGCAGCCTTTCTGGTACAACAGTAAAAAGGCCAAAAAATGTTAATGGCTTATTGAGGAAATACACACAAGCACCAGGATTAGCCTAGGAATTGTGTACAACAGAAACCTCTCAGAGAGAGCACTACACAATGGGAACTGCTTGACCCAGGTCACAGCAAAAGAGCTTTCTAGCAAGTGGGAAGAAGATATAAAAGGGGGAAATGACATCATGATGGTACCTCACGCTCCCCACAACTACACACCTAAAAGTACCAGAGGAACAAGACTGAACTTGGGGGAAGAGGGATTTTTAGCCTGTGTATGGAAATCTGGTGGACTGCTTGTATCATCAGCCAGCGTGAGAAATTGCTACTTCATATCCAATTTTTCTAATATCTTAGGCTTAGTTTGCAGTTTTGTTTATTTACTAGGTAATCACTTATAATCACTTAAAAGTGATATATCTGTAGTTAATAAATCTATTTTAGGTTTTACCTAAAACACTGCGTGTTGTTTGATGTGCAAAGGGGATAAATCTCACCTCATGAACAAGAGTTGGTGCATGTCCGCTTTCCTTTGTAGAAATGGTGGACTGGGTAATAAATTCATACTGGTTGGGTTTTGACCAGGGCAGGACGGTACAGCTTTGGGGTCTTAGGCTGGGAAGCTGGGGATATTTTGGCTGTAGCCTCTCTATTGTGGGTTCATGAGTGGCTGGCCAGAGCATTCATGAACACAGTTGGGTGTGGTCCCTGCCTGTGGATGTTGGTGTAAGTGCAAGCTTGGAGGGTTTTGCCACTTGTCACAACGTCCTGGTGCAAGAGGGAACCCAGATTGGTGAGACAGAGAGTTCAGCTGTACCTCAGTTCCAGGTGGCACCCTGGGGGGGGAGGGGAGAGGCGGACCCATCACACCCATCACCTAATAATGTCTTCATAATCCTTAGTAGCCTTTGAGGACATCGGCTTCAGTGGGAATGCAGAGTATCTTGTAGGAGATCCCCTGCAGGCTGATAGTCAGCAGCAGATGCTAAGACT